GCAGTGCGGTTGGCGCAGGATAGAGCAGGGTTTAGGGCTGTTGTGCATAGGGTCGCTATGAGTCGGAAACGACTCGACGGCACATAACAACACACCAAAGAAGGGCTCATTCTGATGAAAGTATCAAACTTGCTCTCTCCAGAACAGGGATTCAATTATTCATCCGTTACTTGAGCCTGACAGACATATTCTGAGAGGAGACCTGTGCGGGAATCAAGGGAACTCTAGAAAGAAATAGAAAAGCTTCCATACACAATGGTAGCACACGTTGCATTTTTACCTTGAGCTGCTGAAGAAATGCACAGCAATACCACAGAATTGTCTTGATCTGTTTAATCCACAGCAGTGTGAGATCCTTGGAAAGAGCCAGTGACACAAACCACACCTATGGGCAGGAAAAAGGCAGACAATGAGTACTTAGACAGAAAAGAACATTTCACTTAGGGTGACAATCAGGTAAGGCAGTAGAGGATGAATAAACAGGATTTTCTTCAGCACTAACCCAAAGTCAGAACAGCTCAGTGAAGGAAGTTTGTATCATGAGAAAGCAATAGCACCAGAAAAGAACATCTTGGACAGTAAAGAGACTAAGGGGTAATTTGTGCTTTGAATTAACAGAGACAATCATGCTGTGGGAACTTTCTCAGTTGAGTGGGCTGGCTCATGAGGGCTCATGGGAGGTTCTCCAGCTCCTATGTCCATTTACCTTGGGCTCATTCTCAGCATCCATGCTGCTCAGGATGCAGCGACACAGTTTCTCAAATCTCTGAAAAGAAGCAAGATGGGAAGGGAGGTTAGGAAGTCTGTTATAAGAAGTGGGGATGGAAAGGGATGCGCACCCATCCACTTAGAAAAAGAAGTCCTTCCCACAGATGTGGAAACTAGGCATCAGAAACACAACAGCAGCCTTTTCAATCTGATGGCTCATAGGCTGGAATGAGCCCTACCACTGCACTCAACTGGCCTGTACTGCTTCATAAAAATTCAGACAGGCTTTTACCTAACTTATTTTGAGAAACAAAATTAACTTGGGCATGTATTCCAGCCATCTCTTCAATAGTTTCAAGCTTCAGTGGGTTTAAGCTTGCCATTGTGTAAGTACCATGGATAGCACAAATGGCTTGTGGCCTAAAGTTTGGTGGTTCAAACCCCTCCCAGCAACACGTGTGTTGTGCTTCTGTTAAGTGCAGTTTTCAATATGGATTGCAGCTCAACATCAAGAAGACAAAGATTCTCACCACTGGGCCAACTGGCAACACCAAGATAGATGGAGAAGAGACTGAGGTCGTTAAAAATTATAGCTTGCTTAGCTCTACAATCAACATTCTTGGCACCAGCAGTCAGGAAATCAAAAGATGAATCGCATTAGGTAAATTTGTTGTCAGGGATCTCTCAGAGTACTGAAAAGCAATGATGTCAGTCTAGAGACTAAGGTGCACCTAATCCAAGCCATGGTCTTCGCCATGACTTGCTATGCATCAGAGAGCTGGACAGAAGAATCAATGCCTTTGCACTGTGGTGCTGGAGAAGAGTCTTGAACATAACACGGACCACTAATAAATAGATCTGTATTTTTTTGCTGTTTTTGTTTTCTTGTTGTGTACCACTGAGTAAGATCACACTGGCACAGGAGATTCCCCCTCCTTCTTCAGCAAAGCATCTGGTGGATTTGAACAACGTACATTTGAGATTGCAGTGTAGGCTATTGCCACTAGGTCACCAGAACTCCCTCAAATAGGTCTGTATTGGAGAACATGAAACCAAGTTTCTCCTTGGAAGCTAGGATTCTGAAGCTCTGTCTCACATACTTGGAGAAGGACATCATGCTCAGAAGGGTGGAGGGACAGCACAGGAGAGGAAGACCCTGGATGAGATGGATTGATACATTGACTGGGGCAATGGGGGTAGGTGTGTCAGAGACTGGCTCAGGGACAGGGCAGGCTTCAGAGTTGTTGTACAAAAGGTCACTATGGGTTACAGGCGAATCAATGGCATATAACAACAACAATAACAAACACCACGGGTATTGACTTTTGCCTCTGAAAAGTTGTTTGTATTTACATCCTGAAATGCAAAATGAAGAAACATGGAAACTGGAAAAGTACCCTTTGGCTGCTTCAATCCTTGACCCTCTATTAGATGAGTAATGTGATTGGGGCAGGCTGCCAGCCCCCATCTCTGTAGAACAAGGGCCTCCCCACCAAGTCGGCCCATGACTGTACGATTACAGCCTGTGTATTCCTTCCTCTCCAGCTGGGCTTTGAGAGCCAGCAGGAGAGATCTTCCCTGTCTTGCTTCCTGCTGGGGTTCCAGGACATAGAAGATCTGGCACCAAGATCTGGCAGGCAGGCACCCAATGGTTTACTGAGTATAACGTGAGTAAATAAATGTGAGGATTAACAATGGTTTGGGCATGTTATCAGGAGGACTAGTCCCTGGAGAAAGACTTCATGTTTGGCAAAGTAGAGGGTCAGAGAAAAAGACGAAGACTCACAAGAGGATGGACTGACTAGAGTGGCAGTGATGGTGAATTCAAGCACAGTAATGACTGAAGGTGGAGTGATACCCGGCAGCATCTTGTTCTGCTGTAGACAGGGTTGCTAGGAGCTGGGTTCCAACTCAATGACATCTAGTAACATCTGGCAAGGGAGCCTGGTAGCTAGCACTTGGCTGCTGACTTAAAGGCTGGCTAGTCGAATCCACCAGATGTGGGGATCTGCTTCTGTAAAGATAGCACTTTTGCAAACCCAACGAGGCTGTCCTACTGTTTAACTGGGGTGCTATGAGTTGGAATTTGACTTGATGGCAACAGATTTGAGCTGGTAAACTGAGAAACAAAACAGGGAATAATCAGAAGTACTTAATTTTATTATCATTATAACAGATAATAACTGGCTTTCCTGGACCTGTATTTTCTAAGCTGGCATAAAGGGGGACAATTCCTTATGTTTGAAAGATTAAAAATAAATCCTCCCCCCCCAAAAATCCCAAATTAGCTGCTGGTATTTGCCAAATGATACCATTGAGCAGAAAGATGTGGGTTTTCAACAACTCTGTGAAGCACCAGCGTGTGATTCCACCACCAGCAGAGCTGGCAGCTGCTGCCTCTTTGAATGACATGCCACAGGGACATCAGTCCCTTTGATGTCCTTACCACTGTAGTCTATTAAAATTGAATAAACCTTACCACTGCATTTTTTTATGTACTGTTGAGGCAGAACAATTCATAGCTGAGTCCCCAGTAAGTTTTCAGGGGCAGTGAATTACATGGGAGGGACACTACTTCCTCCTGTGGAGCAATCTCCTCCCATGGAATTAACTGCCTCTGAAAACCCACCGGCAGGGGAGCTGTGGGCTAGTTCTGACGCTCTGGTACACCACAGCAACACCATCTTCAGGCAGGCAGCACAATTCCTTACCACTGAGCCCCAGAGCCACTGTTGTATAGTCAAGCCCAACTCACTGGGGGCCTCCTTTGTGTTTCTGAAGCCATAAATCTCTATAGGAGGAGACTGCCCAGCTTTCTCCTACAGGACAGCGTGTGAATTTAAACCACCAACCTTCCATTTATTACCAGACTTGTATGGTGACTTTTCTCAGAAGTGGTTTAGTTATTTACATATTCTGCCTGGCTCTCTAGGAATTTGAGCTTCCAACTTCTCAAAACCGTCAAAGTGAAAAGAACTTCCACCAATTCCCGGGAGGTCTGGGCTTCATCCCTGCAAAGCAAGTCTCCCAGAAAACAAAAGGGAAGGGTGTGTGGGAAACAGCAGGTCCTCCTTCACCGAGTTAGCGTAAGGACCGAGGGAGCTGATAGTTACAAGATACTTAAAAAATGGTCCTGGTATTTATCCAGTAAACACTGTGCACGTTTAGCATTTTACCTCATTATCCTCTTTCATTTTGAATAAGAAGAGCAGCTTCCTGGCAATCTTAAAAATACAAAGCACGCTTCTTTTATTGGATCTGGAATCATCCACTTTAAAAAACTCATCAATGTCTCTCCTGGGGAAGGAAAGGTAAAAGAAAAGACATTTTTTAGTTGAAAGCCCCCAGCTGCAGGAAGACTTTGTGAGCACTCTAAGGGGACAGGCATGTTTTCTGTTTCATGGGGAGGAAGAGCAAATGCGTGGAGGGTTCCCAGTCCCACCTGATTTCTCTCTGCAGTCGACTCCGACAGAGGAAACTCCGGACGTGAGCCTGGATCTCCACGGCTGCCCGCTCCCTCTCCTTCTGCACCAGCCTCTCTTCGCGGGCCTGGCGGGCTCGGTCGATGAACCACGCTCTCGAGGTCTGAGATGTGGTGAACATATCTGAAAACCTTGTGCAGACTCTGAAAAGAAAACAGACAGCAACTGGTGATCATTCACTGAGAAGCTCTTAGGGAAACTGCCTCAAGAACAAAAGGTGGACAGGAAAAGGGATACTCAGGACAGAGCCACATGGGACCCTCCAGCACCTTTGTTAATAGCTCTCCCACATCCAGTTTCCAACTCCTTTGCAGCTCCTTCTCTGCAACTTTTCAAGACCTTGCTTTATCTCAGATGAATTAATTACATTTGCATTAAAGACAAAGCACTAGCAAACCAGCTACAGCAAGACAAGGACTCATTACCTTAACTGTGGACCCAGCACAGCGTCTGGCACAGGGTACATGCTTTGTAAAGATTTAATAAACGAGCACAGAAATGTACTGATTCTATCCACAAAGCTCTGATGTAAACCATCCACTATGCTGAAAGTCCCCAGATATGGGAATTTGCTAGAGCACTCAGCAGTATTTAGGAAGCCAACAGCAGGTTTTACGGTGGTAAAGTGGTTGTTATACACTGTCGAGTCAGAACCAACCGACTCCCAGATGACCCTCCCAAGGGTTTTTGTTGGGGGGGGGGGGAAGACAGTCTATTTTTCTTCCAAGGAGCAGCTGGTGGATTTGAAATGCCTACCTTTAGGCTGGCAGCACAGTTCCTTATCCACTTTGGTAAGAGATTGCATTAGAGGAAAGGAGAGAAATCCTGCATGAGATGGACTTACACACACAACAGCTACAATAGCAGGCGCAAGCATGCCAATGGTCAGGAACAAGCTGTACAACTCGGCAGCATTTCCATCTGTTATGCACAAGATCACCAGGGGCTGAAGCTGACTTGATGACAACTAACACCAACACTGGGCAGCCAGTAGAGACTGGGAGGGGGGGGAAAAACCCAAAAAACATAATTATTTAGCCTCACTATTATTTTATCCATTTGTTCACTCGACAAGTAGCCACTGGTGTCTATTTTGTGCCCAACACAGAAAAGTTTTTCATTTAATAAAAAAGGCTGTTGTAATACTAAAAAATCAAATGACGTATGATTTCCAAATATAAATTAGTCCATTACATGGAATAAGCTACTCTGCTCTTCTGAGTTTTCCCATTCCCAACTGGTACTTCTTTCAACAAAAGCTCCAAGTAATATATTGCACTCTTATTTATTCACTGTCTTTTCTCAAAGCGGGAGCTTCAGCCAATGGCCTAGGGAGCCTAGCACTGCTCCATGGATTTCTGCTTATGCTTGAAAAGTTTATCATGCTACCCCAAGTATGCCCCAGCACTACTCACAAAGCCCTTGAAATGAATTCTTCAGAAAACCAGACTTAACAGAAAACAATTGAAATAGCAGGGCATTTCACTCAAACAAGACATATGTGAAGACATCATAAAAAAGAAATTTTGTCAGGTCCACAATAGATGGGCACTGATAAAGCAGGAACAATATATGAAACAGTGCTTCAAATTACTACAATAAATTAAACAAATAAACAACTCAAATCAGCTTTACTGGACCAGCTAAGACGAGAGGACTCCTGGGACTACTGCTCAGAGATACTCTTTAAACCTTGACGAGTAAAGTTTGCACATGGCTAGCCCACGTGGGGACCTTCCCAGCACTGCTGGATATCTGTCAAACAACTCTTACGTGTGGGTCTCACATCAGCAAAATGAGCAGAGCCTCTCTGACCACAGGAAAAGGGGTGAGAAACCAGAGAAGGAAAGGTGGCTTTTGGAACCATTCATTCTTTCCACCTCTGGCAAGGGAAGCAGATGTGAGGGTGAGCACTCACCTGAGAATGGGTGTACCTGTGATGCAAAAATGCCAGGGAATCAAAAGTGAACTCACGCAGGACTCTGCTGAAGCAGCTTCTCACTTCCCTGAGGCTTGTCTTCCCTGGTAGGAGCAGAAGGGAAAATTCAGACTTTGGAAGAAGTTTTTTATAGGTGGAATATTACATTATATACTTTCTCCACTGAGTATAAGAAACATAGTACCTCTGGCTTTTTTTTTTTAAAAACTCATTGTTGCATATTTCCTTCCCCCATCTCCACTCTCCCTCCTCCAACCTGCCCCCCGCAATGCACCTCTTGTTCTAGACTGTTGTCGTACATATAATGCATTATATATTCCTCTCAGACAGTTCTTCCCCTCATCTGTTCTAACGCAGTGTTCATTATCTAACCACTCTATTCCCATTTTCTCTCTAACCTAACCCCTGTCCTATTTTATAATAGTGGTGTAATATAGTATTTGTCCCTTTGTGACTGAGATATTTCATTCAGCATAATGTCCTCCAGCCTTCACCATGTTATGTAATGTCTCACAAGTCCATTGTTTTTCAATGCTGCATAATATTCCATTATGTGAATATACTATAGTTTTTCTATTCATTTGTTTGCTAATGGGCACTTGGGTTGCTTCCATCTCTTTGCTACTACGAATAATGCAGTAATAAACATGGGTGTGTATTTATCTGTTTGAGTTGGGGCTCTGGGTTCTTTAGGGTATTTTTCCAGTAGTGGAATTGCTGAATCAAATGGTATTTCTATTTCCAACTTTTTGAAAAACCACTAGATTGCTTTCCATGCTTTACCATTTCACACTCCCATCAGCAGTGAATAAGGGTTCCAATCTCTCCACAACCCTGCCAGCATTTGTTGTTTGTTGCCGTTAAACTCTGCTATTGTTGCTGGGGCCTTTGGTTTTTAAAACAAACCTTTATATCTATTTTAATGATTGCTGTTGTTTTACGAACTGTTGAGTTAGATATGATCTATAGCTGACCTTCTAGCTGCTTTTCAGAGATAGTAAATCACACAGGAGGATACTGCTCATCTTTCTCCGGAAAAGCAGATGGTGGATTTGATCTACCAGCCATTGGGATGGTGGTGCAGCTCTTTACCACTAGGCTACCAAAGCTCCCTACACAAGTATTTCCTCTGAATTTTAGGGCTACATTTCCACCTGTTTGATGGGTTAATGGGAAGAGATCAATACCAAAGAAGTTGTCTTCTTCTAAAACAACTCCAAAGAAATTGTCTACTTCTAAAATAGAAATTAAAGCTTTACAGGGTTTGTGATGGCAAACAAGAATAACACTTGGAGGTAAAACAGAAAACAAACAAACAAATTCACTCACAAAACAAAAATCCAAACAAAAGCCCAAACACCTAAAAACTTCACTACTGTTGAGTCAGTTCTGACTCACGTTGTTGCTGAGTACCATCGAGTCGGAACTGACTCATGGCTGACCGTTTGGCGGGTTTTTAAAGGCAGTTAATTGCACGGGAGCAGACTGTCCATCCTTCTCCTGCAGAGCAGCTGGTGGCCTTGAATTGTGTGCCTTCGGGTTTGCAGTGCAGCTTCTTTCCACTAGACCAAAAGAGCCCCAACACAGCAGCCCATATTTCTTTTGCAGAGCTGCTGGTGGATTTGAACTCCTAGAGATGTGGAGCTTCCAGGTTGGCAGCACTACTCTCGGAATGTGAAAAAACAGACAAGAAGCAAAAACCCAAGCCCGCTGCTTTCAAATCTATTCCAACTCATTACAACCCCACAGGACAGAGTAGAAGCACTGTACCGGCTTCCCAGGCTGCCAACTTCACAAAAGCAGGCTGCTGTATCTCTTCTCCCTCATGTCAGCTCCTGGGGGGTGGTCAAACAACTGAGCACTTGAACCACTGTACCACCAGACTGCTGTATGCCAAATCTAAAATTCTGTGTGGCAATGTTAACAACCTGGGATCGTGTTTATACTTTAAAAGTAAAAACAAACAAAACAAAAAAATGATCCAATGACCCAAATTACATTTAAAAAAATGTGTACACAGATGTAAAGCTGGGAGGGAATTCATCCATGTGTTAAAAGTGGTTGTCTGGGGGTAGGAATTAGGGGGAGATTTTATCTGCTTCTTTATTTGGTCTCTGCTCTCCAAACTTCTCACTCAAAGTAGCTCCCCTCTCCCCCCTACATAAAAATACTCTCCTAGATGAGAGCCCACAGCGAGGCCATGTGGCACAGAGAGAGGCCCAGAGTGGAACCAGGGGTCAGGAGACATCTCGGCACCTTTTTTTTTGGTTAGAGAACGAAACTTGACTTAGGCCAAGCACGAGGCCCAAGTGAAGTGACAGACACCAACTGCATCCAGGGGCCTGTTAAGAGTGCAGTCAAGAAATCAGATGGCTGTGATCTTTCTACAGACACAAGGTTACGTTTGGGTTTGCTTTTTTAAAAACAACAACAACAACAACAACAAAGAAAAACACAAAACCACAACAATTCAGCAAAGGCTTTCTTTCACCTTTATGGATGTTAAGTTAATAATGGGGGAAATAATGCTAGAATGTTTACAATTCCCCACTCATCAGTTTTTTCCCTTATTTTTGGGTACACTAAGATTCACAAGTCCTGTTACCTGCTCTAAGGCACATATGTTACAAACATAATGACAAGTTCTTTCTTTACCAGACAGTTCCTTAAAAGGGGAGTGAGGAAGGAAGATGGGGAGTAGAAGGGCACAAGGGAGTCTCTTTCCAACAGTAAAAAACAATGCTGCGTACAAACTGGAGCTAAGTGCCTTCAGGATGATTTCCAAAGCTGTGCTTTCGCCAGGAGGCCTCACAAGTCAAGACTCTGTCCCTTTGTTTCTGCTCACGTCATACCTCCTTCCTACAGTTGCTAAAGGAGCCCGAGTGGCACAAACTAAGCAACACGTTGGTGGTTGGAAACCAACTAGCAGCTGCACGAAAGAAAAGATCTGGTGACACTCCTCTATAAAGATTCTCTCTTTTTCCCAGCTGGAAACAAAGGAGGATGCTTCAACGATTTAGATCCTCCCAGAAGAGCTGTGGGTGAGCATTAACATTACTGGTAAGTATATTCATTTTCTCCTGGACACAGAGCCTACCAATTGATCCTAAAAGCCTTCTGACGTCCCAACTCTTCTCACTATTTCTTAGTTGTTGGAATGGACGGAAAACTTCATAAGCAGTTCCTTACTTCACCTCTACCTTGCATGCGAACTTCCAAGTTGTAAAACAACCCAGTGGTAGATGGAATTTGTTCCAGGACTTAAGAACCATAAATGACATAGCTGAGCCTCTACATCTTGTGGTTATTAACTC